ATGTCTTCTTTTGTTTCGGTCTAAGCTTATTCCAAATCCTCTCCAGAGCAACCTTTCCCATGAAGAAGGTGATGGCAAAGTTCCGCTTGTACCACTCTCTGCAGAGAAATGGGAGCAGAACAGGTGACACAGCCCAGGGATGGGGCCTGATGCCCCCATTACAGGCAGCGCCCAGCCATGGGGGAAGCTGCTCAGCCCTTGCCCTGCCCACTGCCCTCCCTTTCCTAAAGCCAGGCTGAAAAGGCTTCTCCATTCTTGGAGGCCCTGTAATCAATCATGCTTTTTTGTTTGTTTGTTTTTCAGATAGAGTCTAGCTTTGTCACCCTCTGTAGAGTGCTGCAGAGTCACAGCTCACAGCAACCTCAAACTCTTGTGCTCAAGCAATTCTCTTGCCTCAGCCTCCTGAGTAGCTGGGATTACAGGCTCCTGCCCCAACGCCCAGCTATTTTTAGAGATGGGGGTCTTACTCTTGCACAGGCTGGTCTTGAACCAGTGAGCTCAGGCAATCTACTTGCCTTGGCTTCCCAGAGTGCTGGGATTACAGGCATGAGCCATGGAACTGGCCCCTCCTTTGGTTTTTGCTAAAAGATTTCCAAAGAGCCCTAGGAAAACCCTGATGAGTCCAGCAGCATTCTGGAGCCTGGGGAACATGGAGGGCCTTTGGCACCTTAATTGCATAAAGAGTGCATGACAAGCACTACACTGTGAGGAGCCAATTTATTCTATGCTCCAATATCATAAAGGCCCATATCTTTTTCCAGAGGATCTGAGGTATTGTATAATTTGTGCCCCTGAAAAGATAATTCCAGAAATTCCCATATAAATATCTGGACGGAGCTCACACATCCCCATGGGCAGGACAGGGGGTAACTTGCAAATCCACCCCATTGTGGGAATTTCAAATTGAATAGGCAAAGCTAGGAATGTTTCCACAAGGGACTGTACACATCCGTGACTCCAGTGCTAAGCCCTTGGAAGTCGAAACGCCAGCAAGTGCCAGTGAGTGCTTTCCAGCTAGATGAGCTAGTGAGCATGGACTTCTGTCCCCTGGGTTCATGTGGCCTACAGAACCTCAGTACAGAAGGAAGGGGACATCAAGGGCTCAACAGCAGTGACAACAAGAGGTTAAACACATGGCTGGCCAGGTACAGTGGCTCATGCCTGCATTCCCAGCACTTGGGAGGCCGAGGCAGGTGGATTGCCTGAGCTCAGGAGTTCAAGACCAGCCTGAGCAAGAGCAAGAAAATATCTCTAAAAATAGCCAGGCATTATGGCAGCTATAGTCCCAGCTACTTGGGAGGCTAAGGCAAGAAGATCACTTGAGTCCTAGAGTTTGAGGCTTCTGTGAGCTATGACTCTATGGAACTCTACCAAGGGCAATATAGTGAGACTCTATCTCCAAAAAAAAGAAAATACAGGGAGGTGCTTGTGGCTCAAACAGGTAGGGTGCCAGCCCCATATACCGGAGGTGGTGGGTTCAAACTCAGCCCTGGCCAGAAAAAAAAAAAACTGCAAAAAAAATTAAATAAATAAATTAAATAAATAAATAAAACACATGGCTAGATAGAAAACTCTCTCCACACAAGACTGGCCTTTACGTTTCTGTGCAGAGTGCTGCGAGAAGGAGAAACAGTGCTCCATGTACAGAAGCAGGGCTGCCAGGAAAAGAACTGGCACCCCGCTGGGATGGGACTCCTGTTATTATGGAGAAGCCAGATTGCACTTCACTAGTACAGATGACTTGACACCCTGGACCGTGCGGGTAAAAAGGCAGACTTCGCACTTCCTGTTTCCACAGGGACAGCAGGCAGTGGGGGGGAAGGAAAGGCGGCCTTGGGCTCCTCTGTGGCCTCCCTTGGCTCAGGCTGGCCCTCTTCACCCTGCGTGCCAGACCGGGAGCATCGAGCCCACTGGAGACCTGCACTGTGCAGACAAGTTGTGTGTCCCGAGGTCCAAGAAGCATCATCAATACTCCCTTAGCTGAGTAACTCAAGCAGTCAGAGTATACACCGCAGCCGCAGGCCCCACGCAGGTGTGTTGAGGCTGGTCTCCCGGTCAGACTGTCACTCCAGCCTCGCCCTACGCAGGTGTGTCGAGGCTGGTCTCGCAGTCAGGCTGTCACCCCAGCCTCGCCCACACTACTGACACCCCCAAGCTCTTGCCTTACCTGCCTATTCAACTCTGTTCTGTTACATTTTAAAACAAATCTCAAACACCACCTCCTATCATTTCATCTGTAAATATAGAAGACTATGTATCTATAACCTATAACTTTAGCCTTTTTTAAAAACACATAACCACAATCCCATCATTGTGTCCCATAAAAGATAATTTATCAATACAAACCAATCTATTGTCGTCATTCAATTTCCTCTGTCCAAAATATCTTTTTTCAGATGGTTTGTCTGAATTGAGATCAAAGTCTCTCTTAGTCTACAATTACCCCCTCCCTACTTTTTAATTTTTGGTTATCCTAGTTACTTCTTGAAGAAAAGTGTAATATAATTTTGAACTAACCCAAATTTGTAGAATTTCTAGAATTCTGAGTCTGGCTGGGTGCATCTTCAGTCCCACATTTATAACGTGGTCTTCTCTGACCCCACCCCCTCTACCCTTTCCTGACAATTTCCATCCCTCTTCTGCAGGTTCACTTCACAGGTAATGTCTGCTTCCTCCCCCGTCACACAGAAGCGGCCCACTCTGTGCAGTGTGGAAAGGCACCAGCTCGGGGTGCCAGCCTGCCCATCGGGAAGCCCCCTCAGCCTGTCTGCCGTGGTGTCAGCAGCGAAGGATGACTGCCGTCTCGACCCCTTATCTCAGTAGGAAAATGCTAGTTTGCTAACTCCATCACTCTGCTAGCTGTGTTGCTCTAGGAAGACAAACCCCCCTTCATTTGGATACACTGATACAGAAGGCATGAAAGCTGCATGTGCTTTGGAGTCTTTCATTTATCAGTTCTCGGCTCAGCGCCTATAGCTCAACCGGTTAGGGCGCCAGCCACGTACACCTAAGGTGGCGGGTTCGAATCCCCAGCCCGGACCCGCCAAACAACAATGACGGCTGCAACCAAAAAATAGCCG